GGCTCCCCGCTTATGCAAATGAAGCCCAGGAAATTCAAATCCCAGGCCTCATTTGCAAGTGCGGTATGCCTACATTAGCCCGCTAGTTCGAACTAGCAGGGTAGTGTAGACATACCCTAAGTTCGGACTAGTTGGAATCAAGGTAAAAGAGTCAGGGCTGAGTTAGTTTCCAAGTGGGGCGACTTTATGAGCATGGCAAAAAGAAAGCTTCCCATGCCCGAATGTGTTGAGAGACTTTGCATGATCACCAGTGTCTCACTGCAAAGCTCAACACGTGCTCACCTTCATGGGATTCAAATTCCTGTATCAGATAATCACATTCTTCCAGGATTTTGTCTTCAATGGTCCTTTTGCCCATCCCAAAATCCCGGAGAGTCGTGAGAGTGAATCGTCTCATCGCTTTCCAGTTTTCACCGTGAGCAAAAATAATACCTGACATGCAAAAGAACCCCCAACCAAACACAAGCTTCAGTTAATTGTATTTTTATAGTGAAAACAACTAAAGTTAAGTGTCCATTATGCTCAGCTTTCCAAATGCCAAGGCTACCATTTCAGAGCTGTCTATGGCAAGTAGTGATTAATCATGCATATTGGATAACTATTACAGAGGTTGGTTTGGTTTCAATGTTACATGGTCATGCACTGAGTCATGTGTCTAGCTAAGACCTGTGTGTACTTAACCCTGCCTTCATGCTGTAAGTGGGTGTTGGACTAGATGACCTCAGAATTTCTTTCATCCCTTACAACTACAGGTTTCAGGTCTTAAATCCAAACTTCAGGTTCCACTTCAATCTTGCCAAACTCTGTAGGTACCTGAACTTTTCAGGGTAAACATTCCCCCAGATCCTACCTTTAGGCCTCATTCTAGGCATCTGGATACCTGTCTCCTGCCTAAGCCTTAGAAGCAATCCATGGCCCAGAGTATTCACTTGCCTGTCTCACATGTTGAGCCCAGTGAAAGTGGCAGAGGTAGGGTTAGTAGTAAGCACCATGTAACTTTTACCCCAGTAGTTCCAATGTTTACATGGGATATGCAAGACCTGTCAGAAGTAAATGTTTGCCTGCAAGTCAGTGTCTTTTGGCACTAGAATTGCTAGCACTAAGAAAAGCACATGAAGTAGGTAAATACATTCCATGAGAACAGTAGAAAAACAACCAGTGAAGTACAAGGAAAGGTATCAAATGTGTCATTAATGTGAAAAATAAATTGCCATTAGTGTGTATAATAAATTGTTCAGTTCTGTCTATAAATATTGGGATACTTCAACTTAACACTTCGGCCAGCCTAGCGAGCAATAGTAAAATCCATACTATTAATTAAGCCGTGTCCACTGCCCTGGTTACAAATACGCAGGGGATCAACTATTAATGTGCTTCATTCAACAATAAACATAACACGGATGCCTTTGTGTCTGATCTGAGTCTGTGATTGTTGGAGGTTCTGGTAAAGTCTATTATGATAGCTATCCATGCAAAGCTGGCTCAATATACTAAGACCATATGAAAACACGCGGCCAAACATTTATCATCACTGACAGAGCAGAAAATCTGTTAAAATGCCACATCAGTAAATCCTGAACGTACTGTATCGCTGTCCTGAACTACTACACCAGTTTTCTTTTTCTTTAAGACTTTTTGTAACTGTCATGACATTCATAGGTTTTGGGCAGTGTTTCCAGACTGATACCTGCAAAAAGTAGGAGATAGTTGCTTCCAGGTCTTCCATCTCCTTACTCTTCATCTCAGATTTTGTTTTTTTGTTTTTTTTAATTGCATATTCTATGTCTCTGTCTTTCACCCATAGGCAGTAATGAATTTACTCCATCTGTTGAATAAAGACTGTTTGGATGTAACATTTTTGCATGGACTCCCCAGTCTGTTGTGCTTATCTTTGCCAGCAACAAAACTTCATGAAAGTATACAAGTCAATATGTATGCTCTCCAATTTGCTCCACTTTCTCATCCCTGTCAAACAGATCCCTGATAGAAGAAGAATGTTTCTAGTGCTTGGAGCAAAGAACTATCTTATAATTAGGTAAGAGAGAAAGAAATCTTACCATGTCCTTTTGCTAACTTTTCAAATATTGGGATTTTGGGCCTTTCTGCAAACGCATCTGCCTGGTTCACAAGAGCCTCCTTCACCATCTTATATCCTGACAGCACCACCATTTTCTTTGGTCCCATCTGAATGCTGAAGACTGGGCCATATTTCTCAGACAGCTTAATCAGAGGGAGAGTAAAAAAACATTAGCTGTTTTGTTATAACACCACTCTAACAGTTTCCATGCTGTTAGATCAACTGGAAGGTGTCAATTTGATTTTAAAGCACACGAGCAAGAGCTATTTTTTCTCTTCTGCCTGCACAGAAGAACATAAGAACGGCCATACTGGGTCAGACCAATGGTCCATCTAGCCCAATACTTGTCTGATGGACAGTGGCCAATACCAAATGCCCCAGAGGGAGGGAACACAACAGGTAATCCTCATGTGATCCCTCCCCGGTCACTGAATAAACAAGTGCCACCGCTCCCCACAGCTTCATGCAGATTGTATCCGTCCTCCCCACACCACTGTGAGGCTCTTATGGCTAAGGGGCTTAGCGATTTCCACCACTTCAACTGGAGCCTGGGGAGTTCCTTCCCCTCCCTCCCATGGCTCCTCAGGGGGCCTAGCGATGCCCTCCTTCCATTACCCCTTGCGCTGCTTCACCCAGGGCCTGGAGATTCCCTCCCACCACTCTGGAGCAACTCAAGGTGCACTGGGGATTCCCCCTGGGGATGGATTCCCCCCCCTCCACTCCTTACAGGGCCTGGGGATTCCCTCCTCCCGCAGGCTGGGGTTTCCCTGTGTTCCCAACTCCTTACGGAGTCCAGGGATTCTCCTTCCCTAATTCCTACCTTCTTACTGGAACTCTGGGCCTCCCTGGGGCCGCAGCTGCAGCAGCTGGGGGCTCCTCTCTGCCCTGTCTGGCAGCAGAGACTCTCTGCTGGCCACAGCTGCATTTGCAGCATGGGCCAGGGAGAAGCCCTGCAGCAACGTGGCACACAAGCTCTTACCGCGGCTCCCCCAACATGCACCGCCATCTCTGCCACTGCTGCCAGCGCCAGGCACCTGCCCCTACCTCACCAGCGTGCCACCCCTCCCCTATACAGTTACACGGCCCAGGGAGGCCAAGGAGAGCTGCCCCCAACTAAACCTTTGCATCCCTATGTGCCTCAGGCAGCCCCTGCCAGCGCCTTGGCTCCCATCTCCACATCGGAGCAATGCCATGTTAAATCTGCTAGTAAGCCTCATGTAATGATGTGCTTATAAGTTCTGTCTGCTTCTATTTCACCCCACCTCTCATGATTAGCATAATTAATGCTTGTTGTTAGCATTCCAAACTCAGCGGGGTCTCTTGTCTGTGTTACAGACTTTTGGTAGCCATGTCATCCTTTGTCTGGACTGCTCTGGAAAACTATGTGGCGTGAGAGAAGAATGCGTATGAAAGTCATCACAAGCTCCAGAGGGTCAAAAAGACACAAGACACTTGGAGATGATCAATGAGTATCCACTGTGCCCGAGGCCGAACGAATTGGCAGAACAGAGACAGGAGACAGGCAGACAGTCCCAAAGATGAGACCACAAACGAAAGATAACGAAGCCCAACCATAAACCGGAAGGATAACTGAAGGTTCAGTCTTACTTGGCCAGTAAGATTGACTCGAGCCCTGATAGACTGGTAACTATAAATAATCTGCAGGATGAGTGCGTGTAAATGCATATGCTGAATTTCATACTGCATTGTTAATAAACAGGGCCTATTGCCTTTTCCCCTCAGAAAGATCCCATATGCTTCTTATGCTTAACACGTGTCCACACGGCAACTACACAGCACCTTCATGTGAGGGTGGGTAAACCCAGCGGGGCTTATCCCCAGCAATGGCTCACCTGCTCCTACTGCAGGCAGGGGGCTTACATGAGGTAGGGGGCCATGGCAGATGGGATAAATGCACCCTCAGCCTGGCCTCTTCCTGCCCACCCCCTGGATCAGCCTGTATTGCAAATATTGTTAATTATTATCAGGGCTCAACAAATCACTGAATCTACTCATCTGTGGCAAGTAGCTTTCAGCCGCTTGCCCCTGTTGCATAAAAAAGCCTCCTCCTGAGCTTACTTGATTTATGTACATGGATTTTCTGAAACTACACCAAACTGTAAGGTCAAAGGTTTTAAACTGTAACTCATTGTGATCTTTGTCAAACTTTGTAATCTATGTAATTCTCAAACTTACTGTAAACTGAAACTTTGTAATCTTTGTAACATGCAGCCACCTTGCCTGTAACTTTCCCTAAGCTGCATTCTCCCCTGAGTGAATGAAGAGAAAGTGTGAGTGTGAGTGTGTTTGAAGAAGGCTTGGAACAATTGACCACATGGCAATGAGTCATCGCAGTAGGGGCATGCTCCCTGCTGGATAAAGAGAAGTCTGGGCATGCTCCCTGATGACAAGGTGAATGAGTCACAGGAGCCATTCAGACACTATATAAAGAGAAGGAGCACATGTGAGACTCTCTTTTTCCTTCCACTGATCCTGAGAAGCTCCCCTTCAGTGTCTTTCCTCCTGACCAGCTTCCCCAGCCATGATGAGCAGACAGACCCTCCTGGATCCACATGCCTTGGCTCCTTCTGCAACCTATATGTCTGTGTAAATGTGTGATTGCCTGAGGGCAGGAATGAATGGGTGTGAATGAGTGAATGAATGGAGGGGTGTGTGCTTGCTTGCTTGTCTGTATGCGTGTGTGTGAGAGAGAGTTCTGTCTTCTTTAGCTTAAACTTTTGGTGGCTGCTTTCTCCTCTTTCATTCTGTTTAGTGGAAATAAACCCATACTAGTGTAACCCTGGGTGGTCTCAAGTGAGAATATTTTTGGGGTAATAGCCCCATTCACCGGTGGCACGTGATTTTACAATGAGGGTCTTGCACAGGCGCAATGCGTGGCTCGCGAGTAGATTTCGCCACCGTTTGTCAAGCCCTGATTATTATCACTAATGAACTTTTCTGTCCCATTCTCTCTGATCCGTGACGGGATTACGCAGTGCTGCTTTAAGATGATCAGCACAGATCAAAGTCCTAGATAGGCTGAAAAAATATACAAACAAATTCCAGAATGAAGGGCCTGATCGCAGATTCACTGAAGTCAATGGGAAGTCAGCAATTAGTCCCTGATGGTAGGGATACACTGCATACTTATCTTGAAATAAACGAATCCTGAATAGTTATACCGAAATAGTTCATTTTGAAATAGCACGTCTGTGCTGCTGGGAAGCTTCAAAATTTGTCTGAGGCTGACTCTGATTTAGAGCCCAAGGAGACACTAGGGAGGAACAACTTAGAATGGCCCTGGTGAGGGGCTATTGGAAAAATAGCAACAGTAGAGTGTCTACACACGCCTTATTTCAAAGTAGCTATTTCGGAATAAGTGTTATTCCTTGTAGAATGAAGTTTACAGAAGTTGGAATAAGCCATCTGTTATTTTGAAATTATTTCAAAATAACGGAATGGCTGTGTAGATGCTCGCATGGTTATTTCAAAATAACAATGAAGTGTAGATGCACACTAACTGACTATCTACTTCAGGGGTGGGAAACCTTTTTTAGGCCAGGGACCACTGACCCACAGAAAAATCAGTCAGGGGCCATACATAAGTGAGAAGCAAAAAAATACCAAATAAACTCTCACTGACATTTGGGGCGTCAGCATGTAGTTGACTGCACAATTAACCAACAAGCCTGGGTTTATCAGTTAATCTTGGTGACTAAACATATTCCCATCCCTACTTGCTGCCTCTGTATCTAAGGAGGGGACAACAGGCAGGAGCCAATGCCCAAGGGAACTGCCTGAAAAGCAGAGGCAGCGGGGTTGAGGGGTAGGGGAGGCTGCTGGGAGGTTCATGATGGGCCCAGGCTTGCTGTGGACAAAGGCTGCTCCGTGGGGTGCTGGCACAGCGTCCCTCCATGGGGACAGATGGGCTGCTGCTGCCCCCCACTGCTGATAGAGAGGCAACAGTGCAAGATACAGGGGCTCCCTGGGAGTGGGGCCAGGAGCACAGTGGCTTCTGCCCCACACCCAGGGACTATCAAATAGTTGTGTAACCACTATAATTTGATATGGTTACCTTGCTATTCAATTGCATTCTATCTTACCTCCAACTGAGAAGGAGAAAGACGCTTCTCCACATTCCCCTTGCTCACCGGGGCCCAAGCTAGTAGATTCTGTGTGCTCCAGCCCCACAGTAGGGTGGCAGCGGTGCTGGAGTGCCAGCACAGACGCCTCAATGCGGGAGGGGTTTGAGCCCTGAGCCTTCGGGGTCAGATCCTTGTAAGTCAGAGGCTGCATCTGTGACTGGCTTGCACAGGTTGAGTGACAGCAGATGACCAGCACAGATCAAGTTCTGGATAGGCTGAATAAACATACATACAAATTCCAGAATGAAGGGACTGATCACAGATCCACTGAAGTCAATGGTAAATCAATGGTTTGTCCCTAACTGACTCACTAACACATAAGCTGTGCTATCCTCACTTTGTCTGCATTAGGGGTTTCCCCTCCCAGTATGCAGGACCACTAAAACTGGGGATTCCTACATTTTGCTTAGCTTGCATTCCTCCCTCTGCCGTTTGCAATGGTGAGATCGAGGACAGCCTGCCCAGTCCACCTCATCTGAAAGTGTTACCTCAAGCAAAGTTCGGTACGGTCTCTTCAGGTCCAGCTGGTGTAGATTTCCAAGGACGGGTAGAGGTCTCGGTCCTGGGGGGTAATTGAGGCAGGTTCTCTTACTCCACCCCCTTTTCACAGTGAAAATAAAAACAAAAGTGATGGCAAACAGCAGCAGTAAGACAACTGGATCTTCCAGAATCATTTTTTGGTGATAGGTATCGTGCTAGGAAGAAATTTGGAGGGAAAAAAGTAAGAATGCAATGTAAAGCAGCTGTGTCTGCAAAATGAGTGATCAGTTTTGGTTAAATGATTGTTTGCTAGCAGTTTTATCTCCTCTGCCTATCCCATGATGCCTTACTTAACCCCATAATTGCCAGTAAAAAACCATTCAGTATGAAAAGGTTCTCCCTAGCTCCTCCCTTTGAAAAGCCTGGTAGATGGAATGTCTGGACAATCTGAATTACTAGGATTATCTTGGTTCTAGTGTAACTGTGGTTTGAATAGAACACTGGGACATACCTGGTTGTATGTCACCTCCCTTTCTGCTGGCTGCCATTTGACTGTCAATCTTGGTGACACAAAATACAGCGGCTACATCTCTATCACCAATCTTGGTGACAGTAATTGTTCACATATCAGCTTTAATGAAAGATAGTGATCATGGGGAGTGGTGAGGTATGTGGGATAATATTGGGACCATTCTCTCAAGTTGGCTTAGAAATGATTCTTGCTCTAGAGTTACCACCAGCTAGGGAAAAAATTAAGGCACTTCTGCCCCATTTATGTGTAAAGCAAATTGGCTAATTTACATATTGGAAAATAATTTGTGTACATCCAAAACAGTCATCTTTAAAAACATGTGGGAGTGGATTTAATGCTCATGTAGGAATCAGCCTATTTCAACCTTGCGGGGGGAGGAGGGAGAGGGAGAAGAATAATGCTCTCCCACACACATTCTGCCCCTTCCTCTTCATGCTTTCCACCCTTTTGTGCGTCTCTAACCTGTGAGGTGGCCGGAGAAATCCTGTTGTCACTGAGCTGAAAGGCTGAGAGCAGCAAGGAAAAGAGAAGAGAGAACATTATTAAAAGGATATTGAAACATTCTAGAAAGTACAGAAAGGAGCTGTAAAAATCATTCAAGGGCTGGAGAAAATGTCATACTGTGCGCAACTAAAGAGCTCAATTTGTTTATCAAAAAGAAAATTGTGAGGGGACTTGATTATAGTGTACAAGTATCTTCATGAGGAGAAAGAAATTACAGCATATGCAAGGTCTTGTTATTCTACCGGAGGAAAGCATAACAAGAACCCATGGCTAGAAGCTGGATCCAGACAAACTCAAATTAGAAATAATGCATAAACTGTGCTCAGGGTATGTCTAGACTACATGTTTGTCAGAAAAAGCTACGCAAAGTGCACTCCGCATTTTGTGTAGCTTTTTCCGATACTTTTGTCGGAAAAGGCTTTTCTGACATTTGGACCATCTAGACTGGGCCAAATGTTGGAAAAAAACTCTCTTTTGAAAGCCCCCTTCTTCCTCATTGAACGAGGAATATAGGGGTTCCAAAAGAGCGTGTTTGCTCTTCCGTTCCCCTTCTTCCTCATAGAACGAGGAATATAGGGGCTTCCAAAAAAGCGTGTTTGCTCTTCCGTTAAAAAAAAGTGGAAGAGCAAACTTGTTCCCTAGACGCAGCGGGGTTTTTTCGGGATACATCCCGAAAACCCCCGCAGTATAGCTGTACCCACAGTAAGGAGAAGTAACCACTGCAACAGACTACGAAGGGAAATGATGGTTTCTTCAACTCTAGATATCTGCAGAGCTAGACTGGGTGCCTTTCTGAAAGTTACGCTTTTATCAAACACAGTGGTTAGGTCTAGACTGGCATGATTTTCCGGAAATGCTTTTAATGGAAAAGTTTTCCGTTAAAACCATTTTCGGAAAAGCACGTCTAGATTGGCACGGATGCTTTTCCGCAAAAGCACTTTTTGCGGAAAAGCGTCCATGGCTAATCTAGACGCGCTTTTGCGCAAAAAAGCCCCAATCACCATTTTCGCAATCGGGGCTTTATTGCGGAAAACAAATCTCAGCTGTCTACACTGGCCCTTTTGTGCAAAAGGGACTTTTGCCCGAACAGGAGCAGCATAGGATTTCTGCAAAAAGCACTGATTTCTTACAGTAGGAAGTCAGTGCTTTTGCGGAAATTCAAGCAGCCAGTGTAG